TAGATGTAAGTTAAAACTGAATCATATTATTTGATTTGAGAAGAAAATAGTCTGTATAATTCTCGCTGATTCATTGAAAAACAAATGACATTTCGCCCTACTTTTCAACAACAGAAATGCGTATCAAAATAGTATATCTATGACATTAAAGAAACAAGAAATGTGTGTTTTCCAATATTTATAAGAATTTCTATAGAATTTTATTATCTAGTCATCTGACAAGAAAACATTGGATGATGATGATTCGCTATTCTATTGAATGATTAATTCTTTTGTATCCTCTCTATATAACATGCTTTTCTTCTCGAAGTATCATTTCTTCGTTATTTATTAACAATAAAAAGGCGCGTGTTATCTGTTCTCTTCGTTAAAATTCCAAATACAATGGGGCAAGAAGGTCACAAAGAAACCGACGAAGATTTGATTGATGAGCTGCCAAGAAGTTTTGTTTTATGCGCCTTACATCAAGGTATGAATAAATTCTTTTTTTTAATTATTTAAAATATTTTTATTTAGCTAAAATAATACATGAACGATGGAAATTTTGGTCCGGTACAGTGCCACCTAATGTCAGCGTAAGAATAATTAGAATTTCTTTCTTTTTGGCTTTTAAATTTATTTATTTTTTTCTGTAAAGATTCGTTTACATCGACTGGAAACACTTGTATTAGCTAATAGAGAAATTCAAAAAGAAAAATCCATTACAGAAGTTGTTGAACATGATCAACCATCAATAAAAGCATCTCCAAAAAATTGCCCAACAGAAGTTTCATTTAATATATCAACAGTTCCATTAGAGAAAATGAATTCATCTCAACCATTTCCTACTGAAATTCAAGGTTATACATCAATTGATAAATATATTAATAAACAAATTGAACCAAAACAGAATATTATTATACAAGGAGTATGTTATTTTTAATTATTTAACTGAAGGAAAAAAAAACGTTTTCTTTATTTGTTTTTAGCCTGATATTCCACATATTAGTGTACAGAAACGTCGTGGTCATTTTTTGTGTTGTTATTAGATATTTTTTTACATGTTATATATGCATATTAGACTTAACCGATTGTTTGTATTTGTTATTTAAAATTAAATTCTTTTATTCAATGATTTTGATCTATTAAAAAAAATTTTCGATTATTTTGTG